CGCAGGGGCCGGTCGGGCGGAGCCCGGAGCTCGCCTGCCTTTGTTGGCCGACGCCCGGCGGCTCTGGGCCCGCGCAGAGCAGCCGCGAGGAGCCCCTGATGCCGTTGAGAAACGGCCGGGCCGGGCCGATCCCATGGCGGGGCTCCGGGGGGTCCGCAGCGGCTCCTCCCTCCGCTGTCCGGGAGCGGGGTGAAAAGGGCACCGAGCGCGCCGGGGGCCGTCCCCTTCCGGCGGCTGCACCCGCAGTCTTGTAACCCGCTATCTGCGCCCCTGTCCCCGGGGCAGCGCCGCGAGCGCCTCACGTCACGCGCTGCATCCGGTCCTGACCCACCGCCGCGGAAAGGAGCCGCCTGCCCCCAGCGTCTCTGCTCCCGGCCGAGGGGGTCTGGCGAGCCCGGGGGTGCTGGACCCGGCTCGGCTGTGACCGCCCGGGCAACATTCGCTCTCGTTCCCTACTCGTGATCTGGGGTTTGGGTGGCTGGAGCAGACCCTTTGACCCTGATATAAAGACTTGGGCCAGTTGGATAAAATGTCTTTCCTGAAAACTTCCGCCTCCTGTCCGAGGTATCCCGTCTTTGTAACCGAAACGGGGAAAATCCATTATGTGCTGCTGGCTTGTTGTCACAATGTAACTGTTTCAATGTGATTTACAAATGTGGGGAGGGGAGTTGAGTTCGCATCAGCGGTGGAACTACATGTTGCATGTTCCAGCTAGGGAAAGTAAAAACACTTTTTCTTGAGTCTCCTGAAGTAGAGTCACTTGTTCTAGCTCAGTTAGACATCCGCTTGCAATACGCTGGTATTAGGTGCTCACGCACACCAGATATGTGATCAGATCTGGCTTGGGTGATTGGTTAGGTTAAATACTGTTTAAGTTGCAAATCTGTGCCTTGTACTTAAGCACCTTATATTTGTTCCCAAACGGTACAAAATATGCATTTTGTAAATAAGTACAGCATACTAAAATGTTTACCTGGCTCTTTGGGCTCACTCTCTCCCCCAGCAGACTCCTGCTGTAGGTCTCATGTCAGAACAATATATGTGAAGGATATTACAGGAGCTGCTTTGTGATTTTAGGGAACTAAAGACAATAGCAAAATTGTGCCTTGAATTCTCCAAATAGCAAATGTGATATGTTTGGTAGTGGTACTTTGTTTTAACATTACTAAATGAGATATTTATTAACAGCCATAGACCTGCTTAATTACATAATCTTCATATACCTGCTTTCTGTACCCAGCAAATTACAATAATGAACACAAAAAGTGTGTGTACGTACATACATACATACATACATACAATCCATATGCATATTCTTTTTTTTATTTTACTGAGTTACTTCTTAGGCAAAAAAGCAGTACTTCTAGTATATTGCATACATTTTGTAACTTTTGTTACCCTTTTTTCTTAAATTGAAACTTGGAAAGCTTTAAGACTTTTTTCTTTTGCAATCAGTGTTAGGTGGTATGTGACTCTGAGACCTGCCTTACAGTCTGGGTTTTACCTAAATTGTTTATGGTTTCTCTGCAGAAGATGAGTAACATCTTAAACTTAACCTTGAGCAATAATAGTGTAATTTTGTATTCTGCCTAAAGTTGTCTTGCACAATGAAGACAAGTTATTTTGAGGAAAATGAAGGTTTTGTGACATGGAAGCCATGAAGGAAGCATGAAGTTAAATACCTTGTTGCTTCTGGCTTTCTTGGACAGACATAGCAGCTTTTGAGCAACTTAATCTTCATAACTGTGGCTGTTTCAAGTTTACATTATGTAGAAAATAATTCTATCTGCTAGACAATATTTACAAGAAAGAAAGACCACTCTGAGCCTTTCCCTGGGCATACAGGTTGATAAGTGCGTAAGTGACAATGGCTCAGCTGAAACAGAATGCGTAAGTGATCCTGTAGAAAGTGAGATCTTTCTAAGTCACCGGCTTCCTTAATGTGTGCTGAATGATCAAGAAAAGATAGTGATAGTAGAAAACATTTGTATGTATGCTTTCTGATCACTTGCAGAGAAGGTACAGTTTTCAGAGTTAATCTGCCTATAATGTAATTTTTATGGCGGTCAGCCATAATGACACTCTAGTCCAGGGGCCAGCAACCTTTCAGAAGTGGTGTGCCAAGTCCTCATTTATTCACTTTAATTTAAGGTTTTGCTTGCCAGTAATATATTTAAGCCTTTTTAGAAGGTCTCTTTCTATAATATATAATTAAACTATTGTATGTAAAGTAAATAAGGTTTCAAAATGTTTAAGAAGTTTAATTTAATTTTAAATTAAAATGCAGAGCCTCCCCAGAGCGGTGGCCAGGACGTAGGCAGTGTGAGTGCCATTGAAAATCAGCTCGCATGCCATAGGTTGCCTACCCCTGTGCTAGTCCTATACAAGTACTAAACCTAAGAATTGAACCCTGTGTCTGTTTTGTACTAGATTTGGTTTTCAAACTTTGGGCTATCACTTAGACTATATCTACACTGCGCACCTTACAGTGGTGTGGCTGTGCGGCTGCAGTAGCCACTGTTTGTCACCCAGAGAGAACTCTCCTAATGACACAATAAAATCACCCCAAATGAGGGGCAGTAGCTTCGGCTGTTGAAACACTGTCCACATCGGTGCTTTTGACAAAAAGTGTCATTCAGGGGGTATTTTTCACATGCCTCAGCAACAGTGCCTGAATAGAAATATTCCTGTAAAAGAAGTTGTTTTCTAACTCTTTTCTTTTTAGTGTTGCCTAGACCTAATCTAGGAACCACACATAGCAGTTAAGTGAATTATCATTTTCTTGTTTGAAATAAAACTGGTAGATAAGTGTTGTTTTGTTTTTGTTTTTAAGATGATAGCAGAACATATAAATTCATGTTACTAAAACTCTGATCTCTCCCATTAGAGAGCTTATTGGGGATGGGGAGAGAGAACCTGTATTAATGTGGGGAAGCAGATGGAAGAGTATGTGTGAATTTTTAAATTTTAAATGTTTTTAAAGACCCCTTGCTATTGCTTTCTTTCACAGAGGTAATCCAAGAAACGTAACAGAACTAAGGGTGTCTGTTTTTAAAGTTTAACTTTCTTCTGGTTCACAAAAACACAGATGAAAACAGAATAATACATGTACGATATCAAGTTAGAAACAAGACCTCAGATCATTTATTTATCTGGTTTGAACGCTGTCTTGGGAGTAGTTAATTGTGAAGTTGGATGACCCATTTCTTGGCATCGGCACTGCAAAGAGAACCATGTTTCTTCCTCTTTAGTTGGAACCCTCTGAGTGACTTCTTATAACTTGTTAACGTTTACAATTAGTGGCTTAGTAAACCAGTTCTCTTCTGTACTTATTCTTTATGAGAAATGCTCTTTCATTGGAAGTTTTGGCTGAGAAAGGAGTATAAAATGGGTCACATTATGAAAGTTGTCCTGTGTATGATATACCTAGGGCTGTCAATTTAGATACTTTATAACTTTCAGTAAGTCATTTTTCATAAGTTATAAATACCCTGATTTCTATGGGAGCTCTATTTAAAAAAAAAAAAAAAAAAGACCAATACTTGCCCCAAAGAGTTCACCACTTAAACACTGTTGCAGCTCATATTGGCTGTCATTATTTGCACATACCTCGTTTTCATCTTGCATATTTTATTTATAAAACTTATTAATTCCCTTCCCTATTCTGAGTTATCTTTTAAAAGTTATTGCCCTCGATAACCTCTTTTTCTTCTCCAATTAAAAATTTTTCTTAGTGTAATTTTGCTACATTCTCCTTTCCTTTAGACACCACGGCCGTCTTTCCTTTTCTCCCTTATGTTCTCAGTTCCTGGCAAAACTAAAAATCCAGATTAGTGGCCTGGTGCTATCAACTTGGTTTGTGAAGTCCTGCTTCTGTTCTAAGAGACTTTTAAAAGCTTGGCCCCAGGAGGAAGCTCTGGAGCTTCCTGTCCCACATGATTCGAGTCAGGGTGCTGAGGCCCCAGTACTACTGCTGCCTGTGGTGTCCATGGTAACTTTTATGCATGTTTTCTTATTTGTAAAATAGAGATAACTACCCTTTTCATAAGGATGTTGAGTCTTGCTGAGTTCATAGAATGCTTTGAGAGCCTAGGAAGAAGGGCTGACTACCTTTTTAGACAGCATTTAGGTAGTCGGATCACCACCCAAAATTCACTTTGAAAGCGATATCACTTGGTATCACTTGCCTTACGCACTGTACATAGGCATAAAGGGTGGAGCTGCCTCCGACCTCCCCTCCCCCTTGGTTCTTTTCTATTGCCTGTGCAAGTATCTTCTCTATCTCATTATAGATATTATAGTTTGTACCCATTGGTGTAGAGTAGTTAGTTTTTGGCTTAGCTGAGGTGTGCGGTGTGTGTGGTGGTTTGTTTTTTTAATAATGGTTTTTGACATTTCCTCCTGATAATGGTCTTGGTTTTGGAGTTATGCCTCATTCTCTAGGCTTCAGACTCTTGTGGCAAGCCAGAGATGGTTAGTGACCACACCCCAGCTGCTTTACGTGCTTGGGAGAGCCTCACGATAGGGACAGGTGCAGTTAGCTGTAAAAGGTTAAAATCCCGATCCAAAAAGAACAGGGCACTTAGACTGAAGTACGGGCTATTGGAATCATGCTCCTTCCTCCATCAGAGTCACACACACCCCAGTCTGGGTACCGAGTGTCGTCAGCAGTGCTCTTCCTGCTTTGGCTGTCCAAGACGGATGGATTTAATTCATGCCAAAGAGGTACTGCATGTCATCTAAGGACTCAGTAGCAGTCCCTCAAGATCGGAGGCTCTACCAAGGACTTGGAGCTGGACTCAGAAAGGAGGCGCTCCCCAGAATGAGCCTCAAAACGGGAAATCAACTGACTGCAGAGCCCAGGTCAGGCCTGTTGAGATCAGGCACTTTGGGAGTTGCTTCACTGTTACCTCAGATCCTGGTGCCACAAAATCAGAATGACTTCCCAATGCTTTCTGCTCCTGAGGAGTTTGTGGCTATGAGAGAGTTGTTGTATCTCTTGGTACTGCCTTTCCCTGCAATTCACTATTCTCGCTTGGCACCAGCACTGAAGGTACCAACACAGCTACCCTCTGCACCATGGGGGACTACTGGATTTGACAATTAGCGTACTGATTAAAATGGTGCTGTCTAGGGGAAAGCCACAGATGATCTCGCTGGTATCCCTTTTCCAGAATCTGAGCCTGCTTCTCTGGTATTGATGAGGATAGCACATCCAGGATCTGAAGGAGTGGATTCTTCAGATTCTGAAGTGTTCATGTGCATGTCAGCCTGGACACATCCAGCAGCCTGTGTGCAATGCCTGCCCACCCTGATTTCAGCCTCAGCTCCAGCATTGAGCATACCACAACGACCCTTGGTCTGCTCACATTTGGACCAGGGTCATGTCAGTGGCCTTTTTGGAATCTGTTGGGGTTCCCTTCTCAATCCAGAGCACCCCCACATCCTTCCCAACCTACTTCCTCTGCTGGTTGCTAAGAATGTCAGTGCCATAGGCAGTTCACCCTCAATAGTGGGCCTGGCATCTGCAGGGATAGGAGCCGTCTCACAAGCTATCCTGAGAAGAGTTGCAATAGGATCATCCCCAAGAGCCATTGGCATCCTCCTCCTCATCTCCTGATGAGACTGTCATGGCAGAGCCTATTTCTCCACCACCAAATGACCCCCAAAGCTGAGTAGGAGGAGTTGTGACACATGGCTTTGGCTCTGGACACTCATCC